GTAGGGAACAACAGGTCTGGCAGCTGTTTAAACCTATCCAGACTCTTTACTGGGACACTTTCAAGTACAGTTCTCATCTTTCAGACTCCAACATCATCATCATCCTGTTCTACTGCTTTTTCCTTAAAGCTTCAGACTTACTTTTAAGTCTGAAATTTCAAAGAACTGCAAAGCCATACTTTATTCAGCACAGCAACAGTAGCTGAATAACTCTGATTTCATGCTGTTTAAACCTATCCAGACTCTTTACTGGGACACTTTCAAGTACAGTTCTCATCTTTCAGACTCCAACATCATCATCATCCTGTTCTACTGCTTTTTCCTTAAAGCTTCAGACTTACTTTTAAGTCTGAAATTTCAAAGAACTGCAAAGCCATACTTTATTCAGCACAGCAACAGTAGCTGAATAACTCTGATTTCATGAACTTTTCTGCTGTCACATACTTTGAAAAGTTGCATTTCATACAGCAACACAACCTGCCACTTGTCAGTAATATACACAGTATTGGCTTTCAAAATAACTTGTATTCACTACTTACAGTTTCCTCAATGCAGGAATGAGTTGTGTTTTCCAAAGGCTGATTTGCAGACATGCAAGAAGAAAAAATTACCAGATGAGTACAGTGTGCATTTGATATGTGCAACTTAGCACTCTTCATAAGCTCCTGAATGAAAAGATCATCACACAACCTGCTGCACATCATCCAAACACATGTCCATCACCTAAAGGGGTGGCCACGTGACAAAAGAGCATCCCAAACATTTGGATGATCTCAAACCAAAATTAAAGTTAAAAAGTGAAACCCTCAGAAATAATCTTTGACTCATTAGTAAGTGCTGAATTTACCCTTACAGAAATGCTAAAGAGCACCTTTCAAATATGCTGAGAGACCCAAATAAGCTAAGACTTCAGTTTTGTACAGAAGCACTCCAGACTTTTGAAAATCCCCAAAAGATGCACAGAAAAGTTATAGCTAATGATAGAAAATATCTCTTAAAACTGCACTGTGGTATTGTGTTCAACAATTTAAAAAAACCAAAACACTATCTTTATAAAAAGATGAAAACATATCGAAATGTTGACATCTGTCTATATTACAGGAGTTGGACTTCGATGATCCTTCTACATCTCTTCCAGCTCAGGATATTCTATGACTCTATAGCCACCACCCAAAACTCATTTCACTTGAATCTTAGAAGGTAAAACAGTTCTTTACTCACAGGGATGGTAGGACACAGGTCACTTGATCCAGGAAAATTTGCTTGTATGTTCTTTTCAATAGTTTTGATTTATTGGGGAAAAACAAAACAAAACACATCAACAAAACCACCACACAAACTTATTAGCAGATAGTCACTCATGTTGAGTTTTTTTCTCCATATATATCATAGATACTGTAAGTCCATATCAGGACTCCAAAGGGTCCTGATCTCTTTGCCTTTCCAAGTGCTACTGAGTAAATGTTGAAATACAATGGTAAGCCATGTAGTTGTATTAAACATGTATGCAACACACAGGGGGCAAGAAGGTTAACATTTATTTATTTTCTAATTCAGGGCAAAGTTTTGCATTATGTCTTTGTTAATCTAAGAGCTGTCTGGCACAAACATGTGCTTTTGTCCCACCCCTCAGTTTCACAGCTGCTGTGCCTGTTTTCTTTTAGGCTGTCTCTGGTGGTGTCCACATGACACCACTGTGAGTCAACTCAAGGACCTAAGCCAGCAGAAACACCACCCTACAAAAGAAAATGAACCATTTTCTGCAGTATTGCTGTCAGCATGAACTCCCCATGGAATCAGAAGAATGGCAAAGCAAACCTCTGGGATCAGGAGGACATCACTTTTAGTAGCTAGCTATCACTTAGGTTGAACTGTTAACTGTTAACACAAAGTTTGTTTTAAAAAACCCAAACATGGCAAAGTGCTCTTGAGCAGGAGGTTATCCAAAGGGTTGTTTTTCAAATGTACACACCCCAGGTGCAATACAAGACTCAAACTAAAGTTAAAAGGCAGATGCCACTTCCATCTGACTCTAGCAGTAACTGCCCACACTGGTTTTGAAAGGGAGCCAAGCTAAATTCTTCCCTCCTTCATCCACATCACTACTAGTGAGCACAAACAGCACAGTGAACTGCCTAAAGTTCTACCTGCCACAGCCAAACACTTAAACCTGCACTGAAATAAATGGCAGACCATCTCAGTGATGAGGGTTACAATCAAGAGTTTTTATAAATGCCATCTCAAAAGCAAGAAAAGGTGGTGTGAACTAGAACTCAAGTCTATGGTGTATTAGTTCATAGAATAAGGTGATTACTTACCAAATTAAAAATGGCTATAACCAGCAAGGCAGAGATAGTGATGATTGCTAAGGGAAGCCTGAGCAAAGGCATTGTCTCCACCTTTTCTGAGAGAGCACAGAGGTGGTGCAGGAAAGGCCACTGAGCTGAGCAGCACTTCTGTAAACCAAATTAATTTGTTTCAGTGACATGGGTAACACTTTGATACATGGGAAGAAATATTTCTAAATATAAAGTACTTTTTCCCTGCAGGAGAGTGTCAAGAGTCTTCACTGGAATCCTAATTTAGAGCTTTGAATCTCATCATTCAATGAGTAACACCTTTATCCAATGGAAAATAAAGACAGTGGGTCCTTACTCCAAAGAGGTTGAGTGCTAAAATTGTCTGGATTTGTGCTTTTCAAATAGAGAATTATGATCTGACTGAAAGTTCCAGAGATAAGTTAATAAAAATGCAGTTAGAATTTATGCTACATTTTTCAATACAGAGCTATAATGTTATATTTGAAACAACATTTTCAGATGATGAAATCAAAACCAACACAGACAGTTCTCATTCTTTCCATCCTTATATCCTCCAATTGTTGCTATAGAGGAGAACCTCCAGCAAAGCAAATACTTCTAATGACTACAAGCAATATTCAAGGATGCTACACCAAAACACTCCCAGCATAAACCTCATGACTGAAACAACTGCAACCTTGGAATTTTCTCTTCTTTTTTGCATGTGTTTTTGCATACCTAGAAATCCTAATTGCATGCATATACCTCTCTCTCTACGTAGACATAAATGCACAAATCCATCCATATATATAAGTATAAATCCACCATACATGAAATCCATACATCTATCTAACCATACTGAGTTGTGAATCTTTATCCCATGTGCAAAGTGCAATTTTCTTTGTTTTTTCTTTCTCCCATTACACAACTTGAAGCTGCCTCTGTAAGAGAATATTGCTTTCCATGGCAATTTTCCTCTCCAAAATCCCTTCTCTCCTAAAAGGACCTACAAATGCCAAATGTCCTAATTGATGTAATGGTGAATTTGGAATTCTAACAGCTACGAAATTGTTGCCAATAAATTATTCATATGTTTGCAATTTTCATAACATTTTATCAATGATTATGAAAACTAATCATGCATTCAAACTTCTTTTGATTTTAATATTGTTTCCAGTATAGAAAATATCAGTATTTACAACAAAAATGACTATTAAGGACAAGCATAAAAATAAATTTAAAAAATCCAGCCTCACCTCCTGTCTCCTCCCCATCTATTCTGGCACCCAAATAGTTCAGAATTACAGTAAGAATTTTCAGACAGAAAATTCTACTTCAGGTAATGGAAACTTGTGGAAACCTGTGGTTCAAGACTCCTGTAACTCCTGTTAGAATTAACAGCTTAATTCATCATCCTAAAATATAGACCAAGTTCCTGAATTATATCCATCCAGTTTGAAAGCAGGAAGCATTTTTTATAAAGTAAACTTACCACACATTTCTCAGCAAAGCACACAAATAAAACAAGCACAATGATGACTGCAACAATTCCAAAGGAAATTCCCAGTTTTGCAGTTCTAAACAGAAGAGAAAGCATTAAACAAACCCAGCTTAAATATAATTTTTCTTCTAACAGCACTGAATGACCACAACACTGCACAGGTGATTGTTGCTCTGTTCACAATCACTGCTTTAAGATATTCTGCTGCTGACAGCCCAAACCACTGCCCCATGGAGAAACCATGGAAATTGCAGTGCAACAGTCATGAAAAACAAACATGCTGCAGAATTATCAGACATCTGCTTTCTTGCAGGGATGAGAATCAGCTCAAAGTTCCCTCCTTGTATCTCTAGATGCAAAAGGATAACTGAGCACAGTTTAACCAACTAAGTCCCATTTTCCTACTGCTTACTCAATGTGCTTAGAGCCAACTAAACTTATGAAATCATATTTCTCACTTAACTGACCATCTCCCTGTGTGTACTAAGCAAACAAAATGTTAAAGAAATATTTCTGTTTCATTTTCATACTGATATCTAGGCTCTTATACCAACAACATGAACACACTCCTTTATCAAAGGGTAAATTAACCCTAAGAGGTGTATGTTTCCCACATGTAAGTTCTCAACACACACATGAGTTTCACTTTAGCTGTTGGTTAATTTGAATTATAGACAACTAAAATATCAACACTTACCTTGGCATGATAAACATCTGTATCACAAATATACAGAGGAACACAAAACTGGCACATGCAAAGTAACTCTTCAGTTTTAGAATAGGAATGGTGCGATACTGAAACACAGAGCAGAATAAATTGTCAGGGTAATCCCAGGGATTTTTTAAAATTTATTACATTTTTGTGATGACATATATACACATAGATACTAGGAAGAAATTTTTTATGGAGAGAGTGCTCAGGCATTGGAGTGTGCTGCCCAGGGAGGTGGTGGATTCACCATCCCTGGAGGTTTTCAAGCTGAGACTGGATGTGGCACTTAGTGCCATGGTCTAGTAACCACAGTAGGGTTGGACTTGATGATCTTTGAGGTCTCTTCCAACCTGGTTGATTCTATGATTCTATAATTCTATGTATACTATACATTAAAAACATACTTAGAACTAAAACAGAGCAAAAAAAGCCCACCACCCAAAAAATCCCCCAACAATCACTTGAACATCTCAAGAACAACAACCCAGTCTAAAGGATAGTTTCCAACCCAGAGGGAAATCCAGCAAATATGTAAACCAGCACTTCATAGATGCTCATAGCCAAAATACTTGTCAAAAAGGGATATACTCAGAAGTAAACCTAAAATATGTATACACACACCCACACCTGTAACTACATACAGTATACAGGAAATTAAAGACCAGTTATTCCAACAGAAAGGGCACATTACACCCACCAAATTCCAGCATTATATCGACAATGAAACAACCACAGAAAGTATTTCCATTATCCTTTTTTTCAAATTTCCTTAAATCTCATTACTTTTGAGAGAAGTAGTTTATATAGTAAAATTGCCAAATTCCCACTAACCCCCTTATGGCAAAAATTTCATCACAGACTAGAGACAATCTCCTTTCATCTCCAGAATTCTCATTCTCCAGGAAGGATGATGAGCTCAAATGACTCATGAGATCTGCTTTCTATTAGTTACCAAAACCCATTTTGGATCTGCAATCACCTCCAGATTCCAGTTTCAGAATGAAAACAAAGTTTCAAATATGTTCTTGTGCTGCTCTGAAGTGCAAATTAAATACCAAAAAATGATTATTTTGCTCTTACCAACCTCTTTTTCAAGACCAGGTTCAGCAAAAATCAGTGAAAATCCACAGAAGTCATCTGATTTGCCACACCACGGGCTGCAAGCAGAGACACATGTGTTGCAAAGGGTACACAACAGGCCCAGGACAAGATGCAAAAGCATCACTGTAGCTGGGACACCAAAGGGAATGGGGTTGGACTGCCACTCTCTTATACACATTTGGCAGCTCTGCAAGGTCTTCATGTTTCACAGCACAACATATGAGCAGTTATGTTTTTATGTAGCTGACAGGCAGATCCAGAACACTCACAGACTGCAGCATCTGCCAGTTACACGGAAAACATCACTCCAAACCTTCCCTAAGGTTTGCAAAAGCAGATCCAGAACACTCACCGACTGCAGCATCTGCCAGTTACATGAAAAACATAACTCCAAACCTTCCCTAAGGTTTGCAAAAAGGAAAGTATAATAGCAGATGTTAGGGATGGCCCACAGCCTCCAAAAACTCCCTGGAAATAATATCAGGCCCCTATTAGGAAGAGCTGAGGTACAGCCTTGCTAGAATTTGGATGAAAGAAAGAGGTTTTCTCCTCAAATTCAATGTTTTACATTTGTTAGGAATTAAAAGACTGTATTTTAAGTTAAAACAAAACCAAATCAAACCCCACCACTATTGCCTCTGTTTGCTTTTAAATGCAAATGTACTGCCAAAGGCACCACCTGCAATTGATAGACCATTGGCTTGCAGTGAAACAGACACTAAAGCAACTTTATTATCATGCCCAGAACAGTGTTTTGACGTTATACATAGTTTTTTTGTTTCAGGATAGCACCCCATTTCCTGACACCACTTCTTTTAATAAAGAGAACAGGGACTCTGTTAGGAATTGCAATGACAGGACAAGGGGTAATGGATTCAGACTGAAGGAGGGAAAGCCTAGGCTGAATGTAAGAAAAACGTTTTTTACTCTAAGGGTGGTGAGACCCTGGCACAGGTTGCCCAGGGATGTGGTGGCTGCCCCAGCCCTGGTGGTGTTCAATCCAGGCTGGATGAGCCTTGAGCAACCTGATCTAGTGAGGAGGTCATGGTAATTTTTCATTTCTGATAAGTAAATTTAATATCAAGACTTAACTTGAGAATGCAGGTTATTCTCAAAGAAAAGAGGAAGGAAAATAAAAAACTGCATACTTAGTTGAACTGAGGCCTTCAATGGTTGACATCATTTCATCATAAATATCTTCCTCTATCCTTCCCTTCTGAGATGAGTTTCTGAGAACAAAATGAAATCTGTGTCACCAATGCTATTCAGAAACAACTAATGACTACAGACCACTCTTAGCACACCAGTGGGCAAAGTTTCCAGGGAAAAGTCAAACCAAGAATGCTCCAAACTGATGGATGAATACACTCATAAGCACTTTGCTAAGCATTTCTCTAGTTTGTCAAATCATGTATTTTTCAAGGAAATATTTTCATACACTAAGGGAATGTTTCACAAGTAAAAATCAATTAGGTCAGTGCTGCAGGTACCACTGGAAGCATGAAGTGAAAATCAATTAGCTCAGTGCTGCAGGTACCACTGGAAGCATTTATACTTATAGTGCCAGTTCTTTGTTACACTATAATGGCACATATTAATAATGCTCACCAAAAACACATCTTGCAAAAGATAATCTGTATTTATGGATAATATTGTGACAAACTGTGTTTATTACATGCTATACTATTACAAACAAATCTGGCATCTGTGAGTAAGCAAAGGAAAAGCTGAGGTAGCACAAGATGACATGCTTACAGTACACTGAGCTGCAAGAGGAGCATGGAGAGTGTATTGTAAAAAAAGAAGATACTTGACAAACCTATCAGAAGTTTTTTGCCGTCCAGTGGAACACAAAGGTATTTCCTAAATAAAATAAGGAATTAAGAGTAAGTTATACACACAGTGAATAGTGAATAACTATTGAAAATAAACATAAGGAAACTGTCAAAAATATTTGTGTTCAGAAGTGAAAAAAATTGAGAAGCAATCTCTGAAATAGAAAACCTTATAAAAATCAACCCTTTCCTGCAATGTCCTAACAAGTGACAAGTGATTATTTTCTGGCAAAAAGAAATGTTAGAAAATAATTAAACAGATCTTGCCCCTATTTTTTCTCTACACACTAAAATAGCTAACATTGGCAGAGGCAAGCAGACTGGACACCACTTCCACAAACCTGAATGGTGAGATACTTAAAATTTACTACAGCTGCACCTGCAGGAACACACCTGAAGGCACAGACATCACTTCCTTCCAGCTTTTAGGAAGGGCAGATGGCAGGAAAAATGGGTTTGCTGTATTTTAAAAATCTTTACAATCTAAAGAATTCTGAATCTTAAAAATTCTTTGCTCATAAAATGTGGTTGCAGGCAGAGCATGTGGAGAGACTACTTATTCTCTATACATTTCATGTAAATGTTGAGTGCATCTGGAGGTTGGTAAATCATCTCTTTCCCCAAAGCATCTGTAGCAGGCAGGACCCCGAGAAGTAAAAAGGGTAGGAAAAAAGGTAGTGTTACTTGGAAGGTTTGCTATGATTATAGCATGCTACAGATTGGCAGAGCCTGAATACTGTTAAGTTCTGGCACAAAGAGATGTTGCACAGGTACCTTCTCAGCTCTGCATACACATTTAACACCAAGAGTAACAGACATTCAGTCATAAACCCATGCCAGATGTTGAGTTTCACACCACGGACACCAGGAGCAGTTTGCCATTGTAGGTTGACAATCACTACCTGAGACCTCACCTTTCTTCTCCTTCCTTGTGAGCTGGAAGAGTCACTGCTCACACTTTCCCTGTGGTTCAGGTGGGCAAAGGGCCTGGCTGCTCCCCAGGACTCCAGATAACGTGTCATGCGAACCGACGCTCGCATCTTCAGCCCATCGTTGACTCTTGTTTTAGGGAGATGATTGTTTGCTATGCATTGCTTGGACTAACAGAAAAATAAAACCACTCATTTAGCAAACAGAAATTTAGACAAAAAACTCAATCTCTGTGTACTTGAGTAGTTTAAGACTGCACAATCTTGCTGTTCAGC